GAAACACCTGATAAACTAAAGAAAAACTAAACAAAGATCAAACTCAACAGAAATCCCCCTGTAACCTCCCTCAGTTCAGCCCAATCATGTAAGTGGTCACTGCTGGCATCTTCATGTGTGCACTCCATGACGACACGCCCCTGGAGTGGATCTCCAAGCGAGAGCAGTTAACAAGTGTCTTTTCACAACAAGCAGGGGTGCTTCCCAGCTCAATCACATATATCAGTTCTTATATCAGTTCTTTGCTAATGGCAGGACATTCTCAGTGGAGGTAGTTCTCTCAAAAGTGTCAGAATCATTTTTGTATAGAAATTATATCCCAGTTATTTCATGCCAGTGTTCTGATTTGTGTTTTCACCAAGTGCATGTATCACACACCAAAGAATCGGGCCAGAAAACATCCATTCAGTCAAAGTCCTCTGCTCGCTCTCCTCCCACTCACTGACTGCCCAGTCTGCATGCCTGTCATTCTGTCCATCGTCCTTGTGTGCAACTGTTAGCCTGCATGTCAGACAAGTGCTGACTTAGTCCTGAGAAAACTCTAGCCCTAAAATTCATCCTCATTTCCATATCAACAGCTGGAAACAGATACTGTATGTAGATCACAATTTTACAGTATTTTTTTTTTGTGATCTTGCCAATAGTCAAATGAGAAGATCAGGATCTGTTTCATCCATGTGTGTATATTACAGAGCTGGGTCCATGCATTTACACTAAATTAGCACGAAATTTCAAAGCAGGAAGACACTAGGGGCGGCTATGGTTCAATTAAAGTGGACTGTCTGCTAATGTTGAGGTTTCTGGTGGTGTGTGTGAATGGTTGTAGAAGAGACGCATTGCCTGATTATTGTTCTTTTGTACAATAAACCTGTTGGACTTGTTGTTAGTCTCCGGAGGTGTGCATATAAAGTCTATTTCCCTATTAGCATTCTGTTATAAATGTTAATGATTAATTGTAACCCTTTCATATTTTGTTTTCTTTCTTTTTTTTCAGATTTTGTGGGGCCACTTTAAAATGTTATAGTTGTCAGTAAACCATGATTTGACCACTTAGGACGTATGTATTCGATTATTGGAAGGTCTAATGCTGCCCAAGGTCAGGTTTTTCTGCAGACTGTTGTTTTCTGTTCCACAATCTAAATGTAGTCCTCTTTTCTCACAGTGCTGTTTATTTTGACAAGGTTAAGATAAGATAAGATAAGATATGCCTTTATTTATCTCACAGTGGAGAAATTCACGTTGTTGATAGCAGCATTAACACAGAGATACACACATATGAGACAGAAAAAAATGTACATATAAATATAAGAAGTAGTGCAAACAAAGAGAATAGTGCAAACACAATATGAAAATGGGCTTCTGAATGGAGGGTATATGGAAAAGATATATATATATATATATATATGTTGCCTGTTACATCAGCTGAAAAACACCCCTAAAGTATTACACTCCCACGACCATGAATAGCTGTAGGGATGTGTTCTTAGGGTTGAATGCTTCCTCTCATTGCCCTGCGTCCGAACGGCTCCATTTTCATTGTCTCCATTCACAGAACTGAGCATCAAAAGCTTTCTTCTGTGTCCAGCTGAGCTTTTGTGTCTGTGTCTTGGAGAAGTGGAGTCCTTCTCTGTCAGTGTCCATGGAGCCCAGTCATGTTCAGTGTCTGCATCGAGATGGTGCGAGAACGTGCTCAGATTCATCAGTCTTGGTGGTGATCCTTGGATTCTTCTGGGCTTCTCACACAACCACGTTTGCCAGTGCAGGGCTCACTTTTGGCGTACGACCAGATTTTTTTTGATATAATTTTTTGTGTATGAGCTTCATCTCCAGATAAAACCTGTTCATCAAATTAAAATCCACTGTGAATCAAAATGTGGCATTACTTTGAATCATTCTGTGCTTACCTGTACGTACAGAGGTTTTTAGTATATATAAGATGAATCATCAGGTAGTTTTGGGTGAATAAGGTTGATGTGGACACTTAGTTTAGGAAAAAAAGAGAAAACGCTAAAGGCCAAATCATAGCATATGTCATCTCACAGTACTTTGCATAGTAAAGGACAGCATTAGTGGGAAAGAAGACAGAAACAGCTGTGTATAATAACTTGTATTCGTTTGTATCTGTCAGCCTGATTGCTATGGTGATAATAAAGATGATAATACTGCTACGTATGAGTAGGATTGCTTGTAGCTGCAGGTCAACAACATATAGCTCCAGAGCCACAGGTACTTGCAGACAGGTTCAGGTAGAGAGTAGACAAAGCACAATGTTCATGAGCAAATTCACATACAGGCAGAGTGAAGTACGTACACTTCTTCACTTTCTTCAGGACTGATCACAGTAAAGCCACATAACTGTCTGCTCAACATCCATACCTTCACTTTATTTCTTCACTTCAGTATTTCTCCACTAATCCTTCGCTGGTGGGAAGACAGTTTTCTGTCCTCGTCGTGCTCACAGCACAGTTGCATTAGAAACATCACGGCCCTATTACACCACTTCCTCACAGACTTCTAATGCATCTGTTGGGAGCTGTGATTCTTGTTATACCAGTCATCGTCAAACTGTCGCAGACCTCTCCAGACACAGCTGGTTAACTCTTTCAGTGGGCATTTTTTTTACACACCTGAAGAAGTTGAACCTTTACTCCTGGATAATAGACATTTTCTCAGCAATGATTTTTCACAATAAGGCATGTTTGACCATAAAGTGTCATCGTCAACACAAGACTCAGTGCTACGCTACACCTGTGTTTTGGGACAGACGTTTAATTTGTTCATTGAATTTAAGAAATCTGCAAATTAACTGTTAGTATGTTGAAGATGTGAGAATTGGATGTTAAAAAGGTGGAACATTTCTTATTTTACTTTGGCCCTCCAGGCAGTTGCAGCTATGTGGCTGGAGGAGACCAGAGTCAGTTTTTAAGATTGTGGAGTTTTACTGACTAATGCCAAAGAAATATTTTGTCCATTAAAGTGTACGCTGGGGAGGAATGGGCTCAGTATTAGCATACTGTTGATGAAGGGACAACGACTTGCATGACTGGAGAATTCTTTGGTTGTTTTGTCTTTCATTTCTGAGTTTATTTTCATTGAAATGTTGTGACGTGTCTCGCTCCGTGACATAGTGTCCCCTGTGGTAAATGGTAAATGGTCTACACTTACACAGCGCCTTTCTACCTTAGTGGTACTCAAAGCGCTTTACAGTGTTTCCCATTCACACACACATGGCAACAGGGCTACAATGAAAGCTATGTTCAGTGTCTTGCCCAAGGACATGGCATGTGGAGGGGCTGGGGATCGACCCACCAATCAGTGGACAGCCCGCTCTACCACCTGAGCCAGCACCAGCGTTTCTCTCCCCCCATCCAAGTGTTTTAACTATTACATTCTGATCTACTTGGGAAGAGAAGTCTGAGTTGTGCTTGAAGCTCTCCCTCCTCCTCTAATTTGTTTTCAGACTATCTCAGACTGTCATTACCCTCCTGCACAGCACACTGCTGTCCTTCTGGCATAGCCTGGCCCCCATGCTTTACACTTTTTGTCTCTTTTTCTGTTTGTCTCACAGTGGTTTAAAAAATAGATCACATATAGAAAACTGGCCTTAGGTTTAGTATTCAGTCTAACAAGTCTCTCTAACTTCTGCTGCTCCCAATCAGCAAGAAGTTCTCTTTTCAAATCTGAAGTGTACGTCATATAATGGAAGTTAAAACCAGCAGCTGGTTCCCTAAGCCACAGTTGGATATGCATCATCTCAGAAGAGGCAGGCCTACATAAGATTAGCTCAAGTGTTCCTGCAGAACACATAAGTACATCTTATGGTTGTGTCTTTTGTTCAAACTATCAGCCATTGCACAAACATCATGATGTCTCACTCAGTGCTCACGTTCACGCTGTAATACATTCAGGGACTCAGTGGTAGAACATTTCACACAAAGCAAGTGCATATTTCTTACGACTACAACATTATATCCAAGTATGAACACTGTGAGAGGCAGAGTTTACGATTGAGAGGAAAACATTGACTAGGTTGTCATAGTTCCTAAAAATGCAGTGCAATAATGATGTTAGTCTTCATCTGAAAATTATAAAGCATTAACCTAAACACATAAACACGTTCTAGTGATAGTTCAAGCTTCATTCATGCAGGCAAATGTTTGTTGAGAGTACTGCTTCCTTCTGGAAGAACATACAGATGCAGAACTACTCCGAATCATCCTGTAAAAGGCACAGCAGCAGTCTTTACTGTAAAAGAAGGCAAATAATAGTGTCACCCTCTGTGGACTCTTGCTATCAATGACTGGTGTTCCCTGTGGTTTAATTCAGTTTAATTCAGGGACACTTGGAAGCACATTCAGAGTATTTCAGTGTGTCAGAAACAAGTGAACCACAGCACCATATGAAGTTAATGAGGTGACAATATGCCAGGTGTTTGACTTTGATCAGAATGTCCACAGCTACTGGCAGAGTGCACAACAGAACGCTTCCCCAGTAGGAAGCACAATCAGATCAGCGCTGTCTGTGATGCAACAGTGGGAAATGAATGTGCATATTAATGTCAGCTTCCTGTGTTGTTGTCACAGCTTTTGACATCCTGAACATTGACTGCTTTAGATTTAGTTAAACATTAGACAGGCTTGTGTCAGTATTTGTGTGGACTGCAGCTGTTTTTTTGAAACACAGTTAACATGTTAAAAGACATTATCTGTACAATGTTCATTTGAACCATTTGGACCAGTCTGGCTGTGACTGACAGTGCTAGTCTTAATGCACCGGAGTTACTATCTGGCCTTTTGCTGCCAAGGAATGTAAATATGTAGATGTGGGCAGGGCGGGTCATCACCAACCCAGAACTAAATGAAACACCTTAAAATGTTTCTTCTGACTTTTCCATCTTTGGGGCAGAATAAATATGTGTGTCAAGTGTTCTCTCCATACAGCTGCAGTAACCAGTTCTGTGTTAACTTGGCGTTAAACTCTCTGCTTTTGTCCTTTCTCAGACTTGCGACGAATGACAGCTGGTTTCATGGGCATGGCTGTGGCCATCATTCTCTTCGGCTGGATCATCGGCGTGCTTGGCTGCTGCTGGGATCGAGGCCTCATGCAATATGTAGCCGGCCTTCTCTTCCTTATGGGAGGTGAGTCTGTTTGTCTGTCTCTCACATGTTCACGCGTTATCAGCATCAGTCATTGTAATTTTCTACCTAACGGTTTAAAACAAATTAGGAAGAATGATGTACCATTGTAGATATGTAGATTGTAAACCATTTGATACCTATCATTCATGAATTAATTTTACTTGTTTAACATATTAAGATGTATTTTTTTTTCTTATCCTATCTTCCATGCGCCCATGCATTTTAACTCTTTACACATAGATTACAAGAACTGTAAAAGATAAACTTAAAGTGTCCAAAATGACATGTAAAAAGCAGTTGTCTATCATTGAAATTTAAAGGTGTTAGCAAGTGATCTGTGAACTTTGGACCAAACAATGAATTGACAGATGAAACATGTGTCCTATCCCGGTCAGATAACACTGTAAGCACATACACTATGCATGGTTTGTGTGTTCTTATAAGTGTGATGGTGATTATTTAGACTTGCGAATGTAAGTGAAGCATAGGAGTGTGTGCATCCAGCCCCTGCTGCCCCAAAACACCCAGGCACACAGAACCGTGTGTCCCAGTTTGTGGCCGTGGACAGCCATTAGTAACTTCACAAGCTGGTGTGCTGTGTGCTGCCCAGCTCCAGCTTGACGAGAGGCACCTGCACCGTCCATCACGACAGGCCACGGATTAGTGCTGTGCTCTACAGTAGTATAATGAACAGGCAATTAGAAACTCAATTATGTTGCTTTCTAATAAAGGTAAAAGAAATTGGCTAAGTCAGTTTGCAAAAGCAAAATCACAGAATAGCATCCCACAGGGTCACACAGCTCCCACAGTCATGCCAGATTTTGGAGTCTGCCAAGACAAAATGGGTTGAGCTTATTTTTGTGGTTTTTCAAGTGCTGCAATCCAGCAAGCATGTTCCCTTCCCTCAGCGATCACTCAGTGGTGTGTGGAGACTGGGCAGTCGGCAGGATCTTTACACAGCTATTTCTGACACATTTTGTGTAAACAATAAAGGCTAGTCCAATTTAATAAAATATTAGGCGTTAAAAAACAAAAAAAACAATGGAGGATGGAATGTGCTGACTTGTTCACTCTCCATAGCTAAGAGCTTCAGTTGCCTAACTTAGAAATGTGTTGTATGTATGACTCTACTCCACAACCCCGGTGTGAAAATTCTGTTCTTTGTAACCCAACCATCCACCCTCTCATCATCGCTGTGAGTTCTCTGCAGTGTAGGAATAATGTCATACTCTCTGGACTGGACTTAACTTTGCAAGCGAACATAATCAAGACATGATATTACAGTACAATTTTATCAAATTCAAACATAACTTGAAAATCAAATTAGTAGGACGTACAGTGTGGTGCCAATAACTTACAAGACTGAATTTCTGCAGCTGCACCACAGCATGCATCTGCTAATGTGGTTTTTGTGGAACCATGGGCCAGCAAAAACAACCCCTCAAAGTTTGAATCTGTCAAAATAAATAAAATGTAATTACAGAATTAGTCTCACATCTCATTTAAACATGTTTTAGGGACACGAGATTTCACCAGTGATGTTGAGTTTAGTGTCTCCTTTCCACTGTCTCATGTCAGGCTGTTACACCTTACAACATCTTGTTCTGTTGTTGCAGGAACTTTCTGCATCATTTCCCTCTGTACCTGCGTTGCTGGCATCAATTTTGAGCTTTCGCGTTACCCGCGGCACCTGTACGGCCTGCCTGATGACATCGGCCATGGCTACGGCTGGTCCATGTTCTGCGCCTGGGGAGGCCTCGGCCTCACCCTCATCGCTGGCTTCTTCTGCACCCTGGCTCCCTCTGTCCAGCCAATACCCCGTTCCACCTGCCCCAAATCCCGACAGGAGAATGGTACCGTCTGCTAAAGCTTGCAACTGTGAGAAGACTAACTGAATCCACAGATAGAATACACCAACAGAAAAACTGTTCCATGTGTTCATCCGTCTACTCATTTCCACTCTATCTGGGTTACAGATTTTTTTTTAAAATTTGTCTGTGTGTGTGTGTGTGTGTGTGTGTGTGTGTGTGTGTGTGTGTGNGTGTGTGCGTGCGTGCGTGCGTTTGTGTGTGTGTGCATGTGTGTGTGTTTAAAATGAGCGTCTAGATGATCTGCTATCTTGAAAATACAAGAAAAACTGAAGAACTAGAGAAATATTATCAAAAAATTGAAGTTGTGCTTGTTTTAATAATATGAAGGAGATACAGAAATAGACAATTACCCAAAAAGATTTGAAAGAGTTTACATGGAGACAGTCAAAGACTAAATTGTGGAGAGTAAGTGGTTGTGGCAGACGAGTGGCTCTAAACATCTGGTAATGGACAATGATGCTCAGCCTGAGAACTGCTTCTGTCAGTTGCTCTACTGTGATCATGGAGAACTACGTGAATCAGCAGTATTGGAGGGAATAATCGGATCACTTAAAGATCTTGTGGATGTTTCTGATGGACTTCACTTCTTGGAGCCTCCTGTGGGATTATTCACGATGGACTGGACCAGACATTAAACTGTGTGTCGGAGTGAGATCATGTTTAGTGGCCATTAGTGAACTTTCAGTGTTCCACCTTCGAGGTCCCTCCAGCTACATGTGACAGACGGGCGATGAGGACATCCAGGACCTCCACTGTTGTACATTATTGTACAGAATATTCCAGAAAAATGACAACCAGGAACTGTCATTTTGGACTATTTTCCTTCCTGTGTACAATTGTGAACAAAAGTTTACATGCACTTGTAGCGTCTATTTATATCGTTGCAGTTATGAATTTGCAAGGTCTCCTATACCTCCTAATTTTCTGTTATGTATTCATTGAAACACATGTCACATCTATGTCATGTCACAAAATCTATGTCACAAAAAATCATGCATTTTGTTTGTTTTATAGACTTGTTATGTGTCCTCTGGAAATACAACTAAACATGCTGGGTCAAAAATATACATTCAGCAACTTGAACTGTCAGCTGTGGTAATGTGGGAAGCTGTGTTAACCAGATGTTGTCAGTGGCATGGCCGCTTCACCTCTCACGTGTGATTACATTTGACTATAGCTGCTGACTCCTCTGAGCCAATTGAAATCAGGCCGATCTGATACACTCATTAGACTTAACCACAGACGCTACAACGGGAAACTCCTGGAGCTCAGCACAGTTTTGTAAATGCAAATCATTGGCCTGAACAAGTCAGGAAAGTCACTTGGAGCTATTTTGAAGTGATATCATCTGTGAAAACAATTATTTGTAAGTATTAAGGGCAAAGTTGTGTCGCTGCTACGATCAGGAAGAAAATGTAAGCTATCACCTGCTGCTGAGAGACACTAAATCCAGTGATTAAGAGTCAACCAAGAATCACCAAAAAGCAGCTCTGTAATTTTTAGAAGCTGCTGGAACACAGGTGTCAATGTCCACAGTCAAGCATGTTTTACATCGCCATGAGCTGAGAGGCAGCCTTGCAAGAAGGAAGTCCTTCCTCTAGAAGCAGCACCTTAAGGCTCTCCCCAAGCTTGTAGCAGATCACATGATCAAAGAAAGGCCTGCTGCAGGAAAGGCCTGTGGTGAAATGAAACAAAACTTCATGTCAGAAATATGTTTGAATGAGAGAAGGTGAGGTTTGTAACCCCAACAATACCATACGTATGGTCATGCATGGCGGCGGCATTATGATGCTGTGGGGCTGTTTTGGTGTCAGTGGAACTTGTGCTTTACACAAAGGAAATTGAATAACGAAGAATGAAGGTTGCCTGTTCATTCTTCAGGAGAACCTAATATCGTCAGCCAGAAGGTTGGGTCTTGGATGCAGTTAGGTGTTCCAACAAGACAAGACCCCAGACACACATGAAACGTGATAAAGAAATGGCCAAATCAGGCTACAATTAAGGTTTTAGACTGGCCAAATTCCTGACTTTAAACCCCATTAAGAATGTGTGGACTGTGCTGAAGTAAGTCCGTGTCAAAAAGCCAAGAAAATGCATTGAACTGCACCATCTTTCAAAAGGAGTGGTCAAAGATACAACCAGAAGCTTGTGCACAGCTACCAAAAGGGCTCATTTGAGGTAAAAATTGCCATGGGACATTTGACTAAACATTAGCACTGCTGTATGTATGTTTTAGAATCAGCAAAAGTTTTCAAATCTCCAGAGGACCTATAATAAATCTATAAAAGAAACAACGTTCATGGTTATTTAAAAAAAAAAAAAAAAAAAAAAATCATGATGTTTAGAGTCATAGGAGTTAGAGAGTTAATGAAGACACAAGACTGCCAGGATACACATGGTCTTGACAAGTGTATGTAAACTTTTGCTCACAGCTGTTGGTGCATTCCATTTCATCAGATAATCTCATATATCATTTTATACATGCATTCCTCTTTTATTCAGTGCGTTTTCCTTTTTATTGGATCCCTACTGTTGTGAACAAACTGTTAATTAAGCATACATTCAGACCAAACGTGTTTTTTTCCATTCTAGCCATAGTGGTAAATGTGTGTGTGTGTGTGTGTGTGTGTGTGTGTGTGTGTGTGTGTTTGGGGAGGAGTTGTTTTGCAGTCTCTGTAGAAAAAAAATGTTAATAATAAAAAAAAAAAAACAAAGACCATAATGAGAAAGTGCAGCCCTGTCTAGAGAATGCCAAAAGGCAGGATGAGCTGAGAGGTGGACCGGAGAGATGCTGTGTTCTGTTCAACCCAACAGATGTCTGCTTTACCATCTTTTCTGGAGATTCCTGGCATACATGACAGATATTCAGCTCTGTACTCTGCTGCCTTGAGCAACTTTGGAGTAATTACATTTAATGAGAACACACTGGCTTGTTTTTTTTTTGTTGTTTTGTTTTGTTTTGTTTTTTTGGGACTCTGTAAAGCTCCACTGTTTCTCTGAGCGCACAGCTTTTTCTAAAGATTTTTTTTTGTTTGTCAACAGCTGAGACCTGGGAGGCCTGTCTACAGGCCGTCTGCTATCTGAGAGGAGGGCACACAGTGCAGTATCTAAGCACAAGATTAAAAACGGTCTCATCTTACTGGGTGAACGTTATCTAGACTGAAGGAGGAAAATGTTCTGTATCTGCAAGACAGGCCTCAGCTGCCAATCATGACAAACAAATACAAACTAGCATGGGCTTTCACATGCCTATGCACATTGGGGAGGATGGCCATTTAATCTCTCACCAAGACCAAACAGAGCAGCTCGTTGTGCAGGCTGTGACAAAAGGCACCTCCAAAGCTGAGCCTTGAACTCCAACAATGCAATATTAAACACTGCTACTAAAGGGTAGTGAGACCACAGGCACCTGATCCTCCACTGGAACCATGCATTAAAACCCTACAGTGGATCAGTTCCAAAACCAAAACCTGAACTGTTCAGGAATAATTCTTGTTAATTACAGCTTGTCCAGGAAGCCACTTATGTCTGTCGGCACCTGGTGGTCATAGCTTTGTAGCTTTGGCTGTTTGCCAACAATAGTGTTTCACTTGGGACTGGGTTATTGGATTTCCCAGTTATGTTTTAGAATCCTGGATATTCTACCTATCATACTCTGAAACCGGATTACTGGGATCTGCAAAGATTTAGGTTTTGATCAGTGAGTCTCAAGCTCTTTTGGATGTGGGGGCAAACAGAATGCTGCAATAGGAGATGTAGTAGATTTCAGCAACTATTTTGAGAAACTCCTTTTTTTCAGAAGTCAAATGCTGTTTAAGCTGCTCATATGTTTCATCACAACTACCTGTGACCTGGTTGGACAGCTTCAGTGCCCTTATAATGTGGGAACCAGGGGTCTGTGTCTCTTTCTGTAACTTTCTGAGAGTGACAATGCAACTTTTTTCATGTAATAAAGCTTCTTCAGTCAATTTACAAGGGAAAAAAATGAGTGTAACAAATATAAATGGTTTCAAGGAGGGCCTGAAAATATGAGGATGCTCAGATATGCGCATCCCCATTTTAAAAGATTTTCATGTTTTGACACTATCACTGATGGCTGTCCTTTAGTCCTGACTTTGACAGTGGCCATTTGGGAAAGTTCCAAACCTTTATCATTTCCAAACTGGTTTAGAAGATGTTCTTTTCCTATTTTTTCTGGCATATTGAGTCTGAATGATAGGCTATGTGTATTCCAGGGACGACAGATGAAAATGAAAATGGCTAATGTGCACAGTAAGTAAATAAAATACTTCAAAAGTTCAAGGTTGAAAAGTTAATCTTTGTAAGGCCATGCAATAGATCTGTAGTTATTGTGTGTTCTTGTCAAACGACATCCTTACGGCCTCGTAGCCGACCAGCCTTGGACTGGCATTGGTTTAGATAATATGCATTAACTGTTTGAAACCTGATCACTTGACTCTCTGTGTGTCTTGACTTGTTGGACCGTTGTATCAGTGTCTCTGTGTTTTTAGATCTCAGAAATTAACTTGGTCATTTGAATATAATCGTAAAATAAAAGACCCAAGACGTAATAAACCAGAATTAACCTTTAATAACAGAAACTGTTTGTTGCTTTCATGCAACTCTTTCTGGGCTGTAGTGGCATCATGTACCTTACTTTTCAATCAGCTTTCTGATCTAGAGTATAACGGGGCCTCACTGTAGAATTATCTGAATAAAAATAATTTCAGATGCAGATTAACGGTAGACAGTTTGTGGTTGTAAATTAACTAAGTATTGTTTCAGATCAAAATAAAGTAGTTTTGTCTCTAAATTGAGTATACAGCAACAGTCTTGTCTTTGTGGGTCTTCTGGGAGAGAGGAAAAGAGGTCAGAACAAAGGGGTTTTAGGAGACAGCTACTATGGGGGTTAACATCTTCATCTGAGTTTGTTTCGATAGAGACAGCATCTTCAAACGGTTCACTGAAAACCACTTATCCAACTACACCAAGCTAA